CAGCTTAAAGAGTTCTTATGTCAACATAAATATTTAACCTAATACCAAACACAGGTTTACATTGCTATCAGTGTGATCAAATTCTGCAGCAGAGTTATTTGAAGTCTTTCAACAAATAGGTCTGCATCAACATAACCCTCAACACAACACAAAGGAGATGTTTGTGTGATTCAATAATCTGTGATAAATTATGTCTCCAATGGTTTGGTCCTGGAGTGTTTACTAAGGGTCAAGAATGGAAGGCTAAAATATTGTCCATGTGAGGGATAAATATATTAGCTTCACCTAAAATACTCTCAAATTCCAAGGCAGCAACTCTTAATGAACAATTAAAGAATATTTCATCAGACATTTGCACTAAAATCACAGTGATGAAGAAATGTGTGTTTGTGTTTGTGTGGTGGTCAGGAGAAGGTGGGGCGGTGGTCTTTTCTGCCCTGGTGGTTGGTGATGTTATATGGAGGATGGTACACATGGTGTTGTGTGTAGTTGGTTAGTTTCTTGTTTACCACTGCCCTCAGCAATATTCTAGCTATATGGCGGCGGTCTGTTAATAATCGAATCTGGACCAGACAATCCAGTGATCAACAGCACGAGTATTGATCTACACAATTGGGAACCGATGACATGTGTCAACCAAGCCAGCGAGCCTTACCACCCGATCCGTTAGTCGCCTCTTACAACAAGCATGGGTTGCTGAAGACTAATTCTAACCCGGACCTTCATGGGGAAGTGCAGTATGTGTAGTGTGCATGTACATGGTACCTGTGTGTAGAGGAAGGTTGTGTGTAATTGTCTGGAGATGGAAATAGGTTGCTAATTATTTTACATCATAATCTGGGCCAGTGGGAAAGCCTAGTGGTTAAAGCGTTTACTTGTCAGGCTGAAGATCCGGGTTCGATTCCCCACATGGGTACAATGTGGGAAGCCCATTTCTGGTTTCCCCAGCCGTAATATTGCTGGAATAAGCTAAAAGTGTAAAACTAAACTCACTCCAACATAATCCAATCCAAGGTCAAGGAGAACGAAGGCATTTGAGGGGCATGTGGTTCATGACAAGCAAGAAATGTATTTGTATAAACATTATGAATCTTATCCACATAATAGCCATTTTATTGACTACAGAAGTAAACTGAAGCATTCTGGAGTATACTCTGTGTATACATACATTTTCTCTATTGCTATACAATCAAGGACCCATATCCCATCCTCACAATGCATTGCTCAGTTAATGCTTTAACAAAGGTCAGTGACAGTGACAATGAACATGACGAATCACTGTTTCATCCATCAACACAGTAATATAACTTCCAGTACTGAATGTATAAAACTTGTTTTTTGACACTAACAGTTTCCTGCCATATGTTTACAGGAAGCATGGGATACAGCTCAACTCCACCACGGCAATAGAGTGGGCAGATTTCCTCACGTTTAACGTAGCACCATGTCCATGGACTTTGTAGGGTGTATACTGTTGAACTGTTTCTCTTAATTTACACCATCAAGTCAGACTCTCAGTGAAGAGACAAAACTAAAAAGGATCAGTTTCTTTTAGACTAATGACTATATATGCATGATATTCATCTGAATAATAAGTACATTAATAGTTCATTTTCTTGGAGTTCATTTAGTGACTATTTATAAATGTTTGATCTAACATGTCAAACAAACTATGATTGTTCAATACTTGCATTTGGAAAATGACACCCCTAGATAGTTGAATTTTCTAGTTTCAGTCAATGTATGATAAATCTTATCCATCTGTAACTATTAGTGATATCAGGACTCACCAACTTATCAATGCATCCTGAAATTACACTTATAGATACAACCATAGTACACCTACAATGTATCAAGTTATTTTCACAATGTATATGTATCTTAGGTCTTTAACAACACACTCATCAATATTCCAGCTATATGACAGCAGTCTGTAAATAAGTGAGTCTGGACCAGACAATCCAGTGATTGACATCATCAATGCCTGCAACTGAGATACGATGAAAATCAACAAAGTCATTGAAGCTGACAATCCATTGAGTCCCTTCATATCACAAACACTGGATACTGGGGACTGGGATCCTGTATTCAAACTCAGTGCCTTTAGTGGTCAATTTATGTCCATATTTGTACATTTCCAAAAAGAAATATCAATGTAGATTGGGCATAAAGGTATCACAGACTGATTACTACATAGGCTAGCATTAAATCACCACTCACAATAATCAAAACACTCAGTCTGAATGCATAACACGACAGAACTAGTCTAAGTCATTCATTCTAGTAAAAAACACTGGTTGATGGCCGGTTATCTGGCAACACACTGATGCATATTGAAAAAGTAACTCCAATATTGCAATATCAGGGATTCATCTCAATCTTCTCTGGTGCCAATATTTGACCCCAAGTCTGCAGCAAATGCCATTAAAAATTACCAAAGTAGGAGTTTCAATCTCATGTTATTACATGTAATGTATAGTTATACAGTCTGAGCCAAAAGTATTTTGCCAAGAGCCTGAATTTGGCAATAAGCATAATTTAACTGCAGACTTTCATGCTGTTACTAGACGATTACTAACTGAATTTACTGGGCTGAATAGAAGGTAACTAGACTTTGGCTGCAGACGAGTCCGCTTCATTACATGTATTTCACTGATAACAGGACCACTAAAGATGAAGAGGCTTTAATGTTCACTTTACATCATAACACAAAATGCTATGCTAATGTGCAATGTTAAACATTAAAAGACTTCTGAATGTACCAACATTACACACACTAATTTGCTCATCATTGGCACACAGCATCGAGTCCTAAACAATGCCCAGGATATGTACCGGTATTGGTAAATGAGGAAAGTGTATCATGACCCACCTACTCATTATCACCATGATCAACCAATGGCACAATACCTGTTATCTTTGGTGGCAAGGTTAGCACTGGTTTTGTCATGTTGACATCAACGGTTATTTTCAACCCCTGCATTCACATCCATTAAACAACTGATGTCTGATCAAGATTCTTCCCTGATTGTGTACAACAGTTTGAACAACAATATGTCAGCATCAGTAATGGGTTTACTGGTAGGTAGATAAGATGATTTATGCTTGACTGACCATGCCTCCAGGCAAGTGGTCAACAAAGGTCAATAGAGATGATGAAACAACTGTGTACAGAAATTGACACACTATGTTTCTGAGTTCTAACATTGATCGCCAAAATTGTGTTCATTAACTGACATTTTGTCAAGCATTTCAACCTAGATATTTTGATTAAGTATTGGACAATTTTGAATACCTGCTGATATATATCATCATTCTGAGGACAGGTAGCCTTTCACCTTCGCAGACATTGAAAGATTCTACCCAGCACATTTCAAAAGACACCGACAATGTCTTGCATTTCCTTCACAATTCAGTTTTAGGGCTATGATTGTCATGATGCTTGTGTTCTAACATAAACATGGGTTTATGACAATTCTAATGTTGTAACTACTATGTGTAACCAGTCCTAGACGAATTAAATGATGGCCGATACATCAACAGTCCAAGATCCTACAGCACCAACATGACCTAATTGTCTGCACAGCTTATCAGTATATGTGAAGGGACTGCATCTGTGGTATCCTATTTCCAATGACATGCATCCCTGTATGAGTTCCTAGTCAGCATCCTCATCAGAACTCGCATTTCCACTACAATGCATCAAATCATACCAATCATTGAACATTATACATCATTATAAAGAAATATGACCTAAAGTAAATTATACTATTCTCTCAGACATATTTCAAGGGTGATGTCAATGTCATTTTTAGAATATGTTTAGTATACATTCAAATAGCCAATCCTCATTAAATCATGATACGATTAGGTCATAAAACCTTGTTTTGAGCCTGTAAATTGCATTATCATTGATCATATATCAACAAGAAGTGACCCACAATAAACAACTTTCAGAGATAAATATCTTTACGATGACTGCAATCAATGGTAAATCACACTAATTAGTTTATTAGGTAATGCATCTTCCAATCAGCTGTCCTGCTCCTTGCATGCTGCCTACCAGGCACAGCACACTATTTTCAAATAGGATAGGCGGAAGATCATAATTAAGACAGTATTTTATATATTATGTCTGGGGAAATTGGTGACTTGGCTTAAAACTACCTTATCAAAATATCACAGTGTATGTTACCCCTTCATCAGGGTTTGATGTGAAGATTAATTTCCTCGGACCTGTTTAAGGGAAATAATGTGTCTCAAATTCTTACATGTTGACACAAATTGCTATTAGTTCTTTGAGTTGTGATGAAATAAACGTTTCATGAAATGAAACCTATTATACTCCTAGAACATAACAGAATATCTTGAAGAATAGGGTGAAAGAAAGAAATGTCACATTTCGGAAAGATCGAGTTCCTTCCGTTCCCCTATATCGCCCACTTCTTTCTTCCGAAGATTAACAGAGGTAACGCAACGTGGTTCGACCCTATATATATTGTAATTAATTTTTTGGGTTCTAGTTATTTTTGTGAGTTCTCTAGTAATTGTTGTGTTAGGTTTTGTTAATAATTTTAGTATATATTAATTTATAAATAGTATTTGGGATGGCGGAACGGGAGGAACTCTTACCCACATTTCAAATAAACATAATATACTATAGGAGATATAACATCACATGTTCTGGTAAAGCAAATTTAATTCGGTGAATATATCCACTATATGTCATATGTTGCTGGTTACAAAATAGACGACATACTGTCTGCTGAAAAGGAACAGTTCAAATGAATGCAAATGAAAGTCCTATGGAAAACAATGAAAACCAGGCCTACCATTGCCACACATATTCCGTCATCAAATCTACACACGACCAATTTGCGGCAAACTTTGTACAGCACAGTAATTTCAATAAACTGAACTGATGTCGACATTTATGAAAATAGGCTGTAAGTGATATAAACACAGTGACAGTGTCAAACGATGACTGCAGACTCACTTACCTTTGAATACCAAATTGTCAGAGTATCATCCGAGAGAACGGCAAAAAACATCCGATCACAACTACTGACAATGAAATCGATTGGAGAGGAATCATTATGTGAATTCCTAAGATATTTTGGCCATCCAATTGGGAAATACATGTTTGTTGTGATAAAATTTGGACAACTTGTCCTGCCACAAGTACATGTCAAGAGGCCATATTGCAAACAGAGTTATTGTTAGAAAGAGCATTAGTAATTGGATATAGCTTAAAATACATATCCAATCAGAATTCTTGTAACATACATACATCGGTGTCCACCAAATGGGATTCCCTTCCGGTGGAGGCTATAATGGAGATTTCAGCACTCATTTTCAAATACACAGAGAACGCTTGTTGCTTTACAACAAGGTCATAATCACAATTACTTCCTTTTCGGTTAGCAAATATGATGTGAAACGATAAATCTATGATTTAATTTGAAGTTGTTTTGTATGTGTTAAATGTAAACATAAACATTAGCGGTATTTGATTGTGAGCCTCCACACGGGTCTCTAGCCAAAGCATCCAGTCACCAAGCAACTATCGCATCAGGAGCAGGTGCGTTTGATGCAGTGGGAATCTAGCAAGGGACTACCGTTTCCAAAGGTAATTCGTTTCAGTTAAAGCATGGGCGTAATTAAAAATCGGTTTTCATTGATCACATTTACATGATCGGTCGATTTTGTGGTTTGTCACTTGGTGATGAAATAACACTGACATTCTTCCACGTGCTGCTCTCGGGGGCAAGTCAACAGGTGACGACAGCCAAGAGCTGCTTAAATTACAAAATCAGCTATGATATTTATCAACATATAGCTAAAAAAATTAAAATGGAAAAGCAAACATATATCTTTTAACTCAATGTTTTGATAAATGAAATTTCCTTTCTTTAAGACAGTTGATAACACCTATAATAGATCTTCACTCTACTGCAGTACCATGCCGTCATATGATTCCGTGGTACTTACGTTTCCGTGGTATTTTCTAATGACATCATTTCTCACGAGCCACTCACCAAATTGCGCCACCTATCGATTGTTTACGTTCATCAGTCGATTGGCACGGCTCTGAGCGAAAAATGTTCAGACTTTCATCAATTTGCGTACGTACAGTCATCTACTATTAAAAACTAATTCAACTTTATGTCTAGCACGTAATGACCTTTTTGTGCGATCTTTACAAACATGTTCTATAGACTTATTCAGCTTCAAAGTTTTCCAAACATCGCTCTTCTGCTAGCTGATGTTATCAATAAAAACAATCACGTGACCTAAGGGGGGGAATCCCAGCTCTATTTTTTAAACTGATGAAGCCCGATAGGGTCATCTCTTAAGTTGTTTTTTCACTTTTCATTTCATGTATCCCGTTGACCAACTCTACATATTTTATGAACTGGAAATTTATGCTGAAGAAATGTGACTATTGTGTTAATTCTACAAAATCGTTTACTGTATTACAATTTATCACCTTCGTTATTACTGTAAACCTACATTGACACTCCCGGATTGGCTGTTGACAACGTGTGAGATTGTGACATGTGCTGGGCACCCGTAATTTGATCTGTAGGAAATACTACGGAAACATATGACGTCACCAAAGTTTGTGCACAATGGCCGCCTCTCGTCCGATACGGACAACAATGAACTTCAGAATGACAAAAGTGTTTTATTGACATTAAATGATACAAAGGTATGTCGTCTAACACTATGTTATGTTTATATGACTTGGCAATATGAGCGATCATATTCATAGTCGTAAATTTCTTAGTACCACAGAAACCCATGATAAATGTATAAATGTTTATAGTCTCTGTTAAAACCAACCAAATCCATTTAAATTGAAAAGTAGTCCCAGTAATCATGGGGAAATTCTATAATTTCTTCATCAAGAGGTTTAGCATTGCTGAAAGGGCTGAGTGGAGGGGAAAATAATGTGAGACTGACTGATTTACTTTGAACCGGAGCGCTAGTTCACTGGTGGTTAACACTAACACTTGTAACAACCTAATCTTAGATCAGTCATTCATAAATCATGACATGTGATTAAAATGTCAATAACCATGTAACAATATCTTAATCAGCAAAAGGCAAATCATCAGTTAGAAACATTTCAAAACTTTGATGTCAGATAAAAATCCCAATTCCATAAGTTGAGGTTGAGTGTTAGTGTAATGGCCCTACAAGTTCTCCATGTTACAAAATCAACTTACTACCTTATTTCTCAGTAATTATATAGCAGCTAAAATAGCAAAGGCTTCCATCTTATTACGCTGATCCTATTTACCAAGCGATCATTATCCAAACTGTGAACATTTCACTACTCATATAAAATATTCATCACTTATCTAAACGTTCAAGAATATTGTTCTTGTTGTGTTAAAACATATGGAATAGTACTAAAATATCATTCTTAATGACAGTATGTTTTTTAGTATTACAAGTTCAAGAATATCAAGATAAAGATTATTATATTTGGAGGTGGGATGGGGAGGAGTATGTCTCAAAATCTCAAGTAAATAATTTTTTACCCTGCTATGAAATACTGAACTCATCCCTAAACACATACACTTAGTTTGGACAATTCACAACAAATATTACTGCTCCTAATTCTCCTTGACATAGTTGACTAGCTGAAAATTCTATAGAAACTAAGAAATAATATCTACACACTGCTATTAGGCAGATGGCATCTCATTATTGTTGGAAACAAATTGTTAGTCATAACCTGTGATATGTAAATCAAGGTTTTAGGGAGACCCTGGATAGATTTATGTGCTAATTACTATGGAAATAGTGTAATGCATGTTTGTTAGGATAAATTGATTTTTCTGTTGTCATAGCCCTGTTACTGTCCTACACTTACCTAGTGGTAGTTTCTGCCAGTTACCTGATGTTTTCAAATCTAAATACAAAAGTTAATCCAGGCATCTGTACATTCACACCTTACTTGTAAATTGGTAAATGTCCACACATGATCAATGCATGCTGTTTAAACTATATTAAACACAGAGTTTTAGGTTTATGATAAAACGATGCAATATAATAAGTCAAATATTTGGAAAGTAGTTACATGCCCTATTACAAATGATAGCGCTCTCACAAATGTCCAGAATGTTGTCACTGTGAAAAGTCAAGAATAGTGTTGGATGTTGTAAGGAATCTTTCACTGACACACCATGATGTAACTGAAATACAGTTCCAAGCAGAGTTAATCCACTCACTCACTCACTCACACTCACTCACTCACTCACTCACTCACTCACTCACTCACTCACTCACTCACTCACTCACTCACTCACTCACTCACTCACTCACTCACTCACTCACTCACTCACTCACTCACTCACTCACTCACTCACTCACTCACTCACTCACTCACTCACTCATCTTTGCCTTCTTTAGGACAGGTCAAAGGGTTACTACCACCAAGCCAGTACTGAACTTTTAATTACTTATCAAACTCAATGCCAAAAGAAAAGATTACTCTCAATCCGGAATCTATACCATATTTGTGAAATGTTTTGCTGGAATAAGATATGCATAAAAAATTATTCTACACAGATAGGACAGGTGCTTGATTTAAAATTCTTTTGTTGGGAAGATATTATTACTTAGAACTTTGAATGATTGCTAGTTGATGTAAAAGTCTTCTAGCCCTTGACAAGTGGGCAGGCGCTGTCACTATCACTAGATATATGTGTTTGAACTCAAAGACTAAGACAGTGACTGGCATGATGCCATCAATTGTCAGACACTCAGCCAACGCCAGTTTTAATCCATCAGAGTGAAATCTGTTACTGCACATTGTAGTCCAACCATAGTAACGTCCATATCAACAATAGACACAACTTGAGGAGCTCCTAGCATTGATCTTGTGAACCTATTGCTCGTACTTCAAGCCAGATCCATGTTGATTGACATGTGACATGTTGGATCTCTTAAGTTGCTCAAGTCTCCTTAACCTTCCCTCCAGAAAATATTCACAGGTCTTGCTTTCATCTGTTTCAGATTGTTACATTTGCTGGAGACTTGGTTCAGAACAGGTAAGATAGTTTAGTGGTGTGTATTGGAAGTTTCTTGTATTTTGATTAATTTTGTTATAAAGAAGCAGAAGTTGTCATAAACATGTAATAAACATGACAGGCATAGAATGAATAAAACTTTTTAGTTAATGTGATTTCTTGAGACATGGAATTAAATTCTAGCCTTTTGATATTCCCATAGCCTTCCCATATATTACCATTTTCAGAGAGTCCTATTTATTTTTTCTATTAATCTACTTTTTACTATATTTGATTATACTTGACGTGGAATAAACGGTATAATGCCTTATTAGTTTTGGAATTGGTTCTATACCCAGTTGCAGACAGGAACTTATTGATCAGGCTGAAATGTCACATGGTGTCAGATGATTTTGTCCTGTTTTCCAGAACTAGTTGAACATGATGTCAGATCGAGAGATTGCGCGGGACAAGGCGGCGCGGTTGTTAAAGAAGCAGGGAAGTGTGTCGTCCCTGGCCAGTAGCGAGGCCACCCGACAACATGGAGCATACAAAGTTGGGTCAGTAGGAGTCACTTCTTATCATCTTATCTTTAATTCAGGGACTGTACAGATATTGGCCAGTACACAGTGAACCACATCTAAAACTAACAGGGTTATGATGAACTGACGAATATCACAGACTGTTTGGGGGTCCATGGCACTTACTACATATCTTTTAGTCAAAATGCATATAATCAGCTACAGTTATAATGAACTAAAATTAGTGGTCCTTTTGAGTTTGTTATAACATAGTTCATTCTTAGTTACAGTCAACTATGGTTACAATTAACTGAAAAGGAATGCTAATTTGAGTTCATTATAATGATAGTTTGTTGTACAGATTTTGAATAAAATATACATGTGGTCAGTACCAAAAGCATATTGAACCCAAAACAGTTTGCTTTATCTGTCAGTTCATTATATGCTTGTTGTATCTTGAGACAACTGAATTGGACTTTAATTTAAATCCTGAGAAGCTGACTAAAATAGGGTGTGTGTCACAATACCTGATTGTGGGGGTTGGTGCTCATGTTGTCAGCCATTGGTTGTCCAGACTTACTTGCTTACAGACATAGTTGCTGGAATGTTACTGACAAATACTCTTAACAACATGTAGTTAACTTCATTTTGGATATTGGTAAATGGATACAATAGAAGGCAATACAATGTCAGTGGTTTAAAAAAGTGAAATACTCTGTCTTAAAATGAACACTGAATTTCTTTAATCTGTGCACCTTGACTCCACGCAAGGGCCACATGAATGTCAGGCATAGTTTGCTTGAGCTCAAAGGCCTCCTTTAATGAAAATTGCTGATTTCACCATTCATTTATACTCCCTTTAGGTTGGCAAATTAAGTCACCTTAGAAAACCACCCTGTTTACTTACAACACACAGGCGTGACTTTCCCCATACAATGAGTCCTTGTGTATACAGTGGTGTGAGGAGAGCAGGGCCTCCATGGTGTTTAACTCTTTTGAAATCAACATGAACCGGCCTCTATCTGATACCATTAGAACAAACTGTGTTTGTGTTTGGAGTAGTTAAATCAGTTGCCATGGTGATACAGATTACCACAAGTATCAATGAAACTTTTAAACACTGATATCAAATCCTTTGAAATATTAACAGAATTTCTGCTATCTGGAAATTTTTGCGGTCGTCATATTTCATTATCTTTTTCATTACCAACTTTTGATAACCCGAGGCTATGATCAATATACTTGAGCCTGATAGTGAGACAAGATCAGGGCCTTCCTCCATAAGTGATTTTAGCACTACAATGATCTTAATGATATTTAAACACAGTCTTTTGGCAGCCATAACCACTGCGATCACTTGGTAGAATGGGACACACAACTTGTCTTACCAAATCGTTTTCTGTATGGATTAATCTGAGTTTCAGGATTACTTCCACCAGCTATTGAGTATTGTACTCAAGAGGGCTCTGAAATCTTTGATGTTTTCCAATAAGTAACTTTAGTCTAAGTACCTTTAGCCTAATCCTTAAGCCTGAAAGGAGGGCTATGACAAAGGCCCTCTTTCAAGTATAATTGTGGATATTTAATATATTTTACTCAACTTGGAATTGTCCCAAACTGAAGTAGTTCAAAACGATCCAAGGGTTTTCAAATATTCGAACTGTTGAATATCACAAGACAATTCAACCTTTAACCATGCGTCATCATACAATGTATATTGTAGTTATGCTAATTTTGGTTTCGTTGTTGAATTATTGGCTTTATGGGTTTCTTATCTGTTTCGGAATGTCTGACAGATAACAATTTGTGGATGTTGTTTGAATTATTAACATGTAATTTCAGATATATTTTTGTATTTGTGGTAATATATGATTGGTAGGATGAGGAAATTTAAGTAAATTTGTTTTACAGAATTATCGTTTTTGTGAAATGTTACAGGAATATAGAAATGAATTTCGCTAGGAGTACGAGCGAGGAAAACTAGTGTTTGACCAAGTAGTATGTACAGAGACCATTCAGTAAGCATCATTTGTCTGACTTTTTAATTTTGTTACTTTAAAATATTCATATTCCAGACATTTTTGGTATGCATAAACCAAGGAATAAAAATTATAACCCCGCAATTTCTTTAGTCTTCCGCTCTAATTCATACCCAAAAATTGTATATTATATATTATATTACACTATTGACAAGCTATCACTTGGGCCTTTTCCCATGAATCGCTGTGTAGGTCATTAGCCGGTAAGAAAGGTCTATTGTCAGCCAATTCTGGCTGTATTAGATGACCATATTTCCCAGTTGGTGATAAACTGTTCTGTATGACCTTCTTATCAGCTAAAGTAGGTGGAGGGTAGTAAATAACTTTGTTTGTATTGACCATTGCAGCTTTGTTCAGTGGAGGCCATTTATCACATGAAGGGGCTATTAATTCAACCCTGTGTATATGGAGCATGGGCTGACTCCAGACACAAGTGCATGAAATAATTATACCTTCAGAGTTGAATATAGCTGGCTGAAAAACATGGGTCAATTATGTCGCTGTTTCTTATTGGTAAAACGTATTTATATACATAGGTATATACTAGGGTACTAGATCAAAGCTTAGTCAGAAATAGCAATATATCTATTATATGTTTTCTAGAGCAATGGTTTCTTGTGTTAAGGATAGACCTTACTTAAATTTGTTCAAACTTTGCAAGCAAGCATGTCGGGTTTGATTGAAAAATGCCTTTGTGAACCTATATTTCTTGGTCCTATTTGTTCTAGCTTTATGAAATATTAACATATGTTATATTTGGGATTACACTTTCTTAGTAAAGTACAAATTCTAGTACTTTTTATCCCCTGCAATGCGTTTTGCAGGGGGGTATTAAAATGGACTCTGTGCGTGCGTCCGTCCGTCCGTCCGTGCACATTTGTCTTTTCCGGAGCAGAACTCTAAAACCGTTCAATATTTCTTTACCAAACTTGGCACATAGATACATCTGGTGGTGTACTGGTGCCTTTTGGTAGTTTTGGAATTCTGAATAACATATTTTTGGCGTTTCCATGCCAACAAGTTTGACTTAGCCTGAAATTGGTGATAGTGCTGCTTTCTGGAGCAGAACTTTAAAAACCTTTCAATACTCTCCTTCCACTTTTCTATATACACACCTAAATATTTGACATAATCATAACTCGTAGACATAATCATGACGAGTATTTTGCCATTGCGGGGGATATTGATGACTTTGTCTTCTTGTTTTTAGTTGAGCCCCATCCGGGATTTGAACTCGCACCATCAGAGTCAGGCACATAATCGCCAGCACACAAAGTCAGCCGCCTAAACTTTGTGTGCTGGCGATAAGGTACCTAACTCTGATGATGCGAGTTCGAATCCCGGATGGGGCTCAACTCAAACAAAAATAAGTACTAGAATTTGTACTTTACTAAGAAAGTGTAATCCCAAATATAACATATGTTACATTTGACCACTTTCTAAATGGCATTGTGTAATCATTTATGAAATATTTCTGAGAAGTTTGCCAAAATCAATCATAAGAACATTTCTATATTTGGCTATTGTCTGAGATGATGTTAGGCATCCAACACTTCCAAGTAGGTCGGTTTCAAATTATTCTTTACATGATGCATGTAACATACAATTAAAGGTCTGATACTTCAAGCATATGTTAATGGTATTACCAGGAATGTAAATAACACAGATTATGTACATTATCAAAGGTTGTTTCTTGTTAAAAAGATGTTTATCTCATCAATGACATGCAGTTGATATTTTTATGATAGGTGTAGTCATGCATGAAAATGTCGACTTTGGACATCGAAAGATTAGATAAATATGGTATTTGATGAGAAAATCACTTGTGTTCTACGTATTATGTACTTTCTTAAAGTATTTTCTGGATATTACTGTGAAACAGTTTGTCGTTGTTGAAGGCTTGACAGCAGTTTTATTGGCCACAATCAATTATTCTAGCACGACAATGTGTGATACTCGATTCTGATTGGCTGAGAGCTCATCAAAACTGTACTTAAATGACAGTTTAAGGACCGCTAATTAAAGTGACCGATTCACCGCGTATGAATACAACGAACTCGTTGACCCTGTTGTTTGTAAACAAACATGTCTGACATCGGAGACTTCTATCTCGGCAGCATCTTTGATGTTTTTGAACTGAACAGCGAATGGTTCGACGATGAATTTCTGGAGCCTAACGCAAATGAAGAAACTTGAAGCTGGAAAATTCTACAGGTAGCGATAATTAGTTTCACATTTCTTAAATTGAAAAGTCAGCGAAGCGTCAACTTTCGAGCGCTAGGTGTATGTCTATTCATATGAAAAGGAAAGAAAAAATGGACTGAAAATATTCCTTAATTTATGTCTTGTATTGTAGGAAATGTTTCCTTGCATAAATAATCACTTATTACTAAATTTAGCGGCAGTTTAATTTATTCATAAGTAAATATTTCACTCAAATTTACGATTTTACTGTTTTAGATATAAAAATGAACCTGCTACCAAGCGTTTCAAAACAGTGACCGACAATGATCTGGAACATATTGTTTTGGATTAGAGGAGCAAAACCACCCTTCAAACAACTGCGTGGGGAGTAAAAATCTTGAAGCGTAAGAGCAAAGACAATCCTTTTAAATCAACAAACTGATCAAGATTTGGCCTAACATATCCCTATGATAAGCGAGGGTGATGTAAATCATCTTGAACATGTTAAATAAAGTTGTTACTTACCTTTTAACAAATTGATATTAAAACATTGAAGCGCATGCGTAAAATAATATTTTTTTATTAAAATATATTTCCAGAGTGGCTACAATTTCACGAACTCTCTCGAGTTTGAGACACTTCCAGTTGGTGAAATGAGCGGCTCTGCTGAAGCGATTCTACGCTGAAGTCGAACTTCCGGCGGGAATTATTATGCCAAGTCATCGTATGTTGGGATCGAGCAGCGATCCACAGACACCTTAGACAGCCACCATTTAACATGAACATTAGCATTCTTCAAGACAAAAGAATTTCACT